CTTGCCAGCCAGTTTCTTGAGCTGCTCCTGTTTCTGCTCCTCAGTTTTCCCCCTCTATTTGTAGTTATTTCTGTCAACTCCAGTCCTTTAATCCTACTCCTAATTTAATTCCATTGCTTGAAGGTCTGCATCTGGCGAGGATTCTTGTGTTAGGTTGCAGTAACATGACTGAACAATCTGTTGTATAACTTCTTATGTCCTTGTGGGTGAAAAATGATGCCCAAGCTGCTRCTACTATAGCATACACTACTGCTGGAGAGTGTAGCTTCCAATGGAGCCAGCTGTGCTGCAGAAAACACTACAAGGTCACCTGGATTGCTGGAGCTGATGGGACTGGGAAATGTTGCCTTCGTGCATGTTGATGTGCACCTGATCACAGCATATCTCTCTGGGCTGCCTGGCTGCTGTGTCTGGGATTTGTTAGATCAGCATCTCTCCCTGCTGGGTGGGTTGTTTGCGTGTGTTTGTGCACACAGGTGTGGGTATGTTCACATTACATAATCAGCAGTGGGAATTTTGTAGCTTTCTCTGTTAGGGGGTCTTTCATGGGGCAATAATACACCAGGGAGCATTTTACTTTGGCCTGAGCAAGACACTTTGAAAAATACTTGGTTTTCTTGGAGCACTATATTTAAATTCCAAATTTTGAATCARCTTTTGACGTTTGTATTTATGTGTTCAGAAAATTCTTTTGATACCTTTTCAATTTACCAACACTGAATTAAAACCTTKCAGAATGTATGGTTGGTCCTCTCCTTATGTGTCACTTTAAGTTTCAGAGCACGAGGGTAGTTGTGCCAAATCTACCCCTTTACTCTCAAGATAGAAAAAAGACATGTACAATTCATAGGTGGCAGCTAAGGAAGAAACCCTTTAAATATTTTTTTTTCAGAGAATATTAAATTAGATCTGTGTAAACATAAAATTTATATTTATTAATGTGTGAATGTATGAGCGTGTGTGTCAATATAGATATRTAAATGGTCCATGACTATTTCTTTCTCTTAAATGGTACTTACACAGACTTTTATACAGTATGTTCATAAATTCCTGCACCAGGCACTGACTCTGAAAGAACGATGAACCTATTTTTGTAACGAATGTGAGCATCCAGTGGAAGCAGCTTTACTTCAGTGATTGTTTTCATTCCTCTCGCAGAGCACAAGAGGCAGCTTGGTGCTTGCATCTTCCTTGGGTAGGATCCCTGCATCTGCCTTTGTCCTGCTTTCAGCAACCCCAGTCCACGCTGCTTTTCTGGCAAGAAAACCCCCCAAATGGCACTAATGAAAGCTGGAATCCTTTCTTGTCTGCAGTTCTCTCTAAATGCAGTATCAGGGAGTTCTTTACAGATTCTGCTCTGTAAGTAATGGGACCTTATTATGGGGGGTCCACTAGGATGCTGTGAGGCTGAGAGTTCCTCCCTGTCAGGTGGCTAAGCTAACACTGGGGCACTATGAAATAGTTTCTTTTCTTCTGTGGTGAGATTATTTTCCTTTTATCATGCTTCTGTCTCTTTGTGGGGTGAGGTGTGTCTATATCCCCTTAAAAACAAGCACAGAAGAGTTCTTCTAATATTTCCATTCAGAGGGAGTAAATATTGCTGAACTGGCCAAATTTCAAGCATATTTTAATTCTGTAAGGATCACTAAATTCACAGAAGGGTGTATTTTGGACCACTTGGATCTTTTGAGAATTACTCTTAAAAGCCAGTCATACTTGACTTCCTAATCCCGATTGCTCTTCCAGAAGCAGAAGTTCTCTGTGARCATAAGTGAATGCTTCACCTCAGCAATCACTGGCTGCTGATAGGAAGAGTGATGGAATAGGAGCAGGGAAAGGAAGCAGCTTTCCTCCTCATCCAGCAGAAAACAGCCAGACTTCCCCTAATATTTGGTTATTGCCTCTTGTCTGCTGCCAAGTCATGCTGTGATCTGGTTCTCTCTGTCCTCCTTCTACCCCACCTCAGTTTCACTTAAAGCAGTCTGAGACAGAGCCTTCCTTAAAGCTAAGGGCAATGGTGAGGAGAAATGTCTGGTAGCTGAAGAAAAATGAGATTTTAAATGGAGCAGAAAAAGTGAGAATTCCTTCTGTTTCACTGTCTTGCTGCTAAAAGTCTGGTGCAGAACATCCTGATGTTCTGCTGATTTATATGCTGCTCTTGGGAGGTGGGCAGGCTGCTAAGTAGGCAAGTTGGCTCTGTAGCAATTGAATTACTGTAAACCTAAACTTGCTTAATCTCTCTTTTTTTTCTCCCTCAAATGGGCTTGAAGTAGAGGGAATTGGAGTATTGTTTGTAAGATCTTTTTGCTTTAATAGAAAACAGAACGTAAAAAAAAAAAAAGCACCAACAAAACCAAATTCATTCAAATACAGTGATACAGAAAATGGCTTTAAAATACAAAAAATTTATACGACTATATGTTGTGTTGGGTTCTGGACATGCTGTTTGTGCTGAGGAGACTGGCCTTGTCCAACCTGCCAGTCAACCTCCACATAGCCAAAAAGAGTGTTTTAAGAGTCTGTAGCTATCCAAAGGACTGTTACCCCAAGGACTGTTAAAAGCTGTTTAGGGATAAATCAAAAGCTGTGTGTGAGCAACGGATGGTAAAGCTGGAAATTCAGATCCAACTCTGAATAATTGCTCTRAAATAAAACAAATTCAGAAAAATCYRACTCTCCCCCTGTTCTGCAGATGCTCATTCCCACTGAGTCCCTGGGGAAGGCTGAGAGGAGAATCTGAAATACCTCAATGGCTTCACAGAAGGGTTTGCTGCAGAGATCTGGGCCAGCCTTATCCCTTTCACCTTGGTTTGGCACTTATTTTATAAAATAAGAAGGTGATGGAAGGGGAAACTAAAGCCATGCTTGCATTTCAGTTCC